TGCCACGTTAGCAATATAAATCCATGTAAATCATTTGCGAACGACGAAAAATTCTGTTACGAGCAAATTGTGACGTCTGCCGTCGTATTTTCGCATATTTTAAGATCTGCAATATCGAATATCGACGCGCGCGCTCTTTTGTTGTCCATTCGCTCCGCGAAAATCAGGCAAAATCGCACGCACTGTTGCAAATAACGAAAAATACATTATCTCGCTGCGGAAATGCTCGAGAAATCTGCACGGCGCGCCTGAAGAAACGCCAAAATCAGCCGGATCTATTTCCGCGCCTGCATTAAATTAAAACTTTCTATCTCGCTTTCGCCAAATTTCAATTTTTAAATACAATGTAGAGTGTGTAGTTCAGCTACAAAAAACAGATCATATGATCACAACGATTTACGATACCCTTCCGATCGTCGTAAAATATGTGGACATTCCTCTATTATCTCTTCATCATTAAATTGTTTGCAATTGATATCACGCGATATTGGTATTTCAACGTGTGCTGCTCCTCACGCGCGAAAAAACCAAAAGCAAAAACTGATTAATCGCGTTGCGCGGCCGCGTCGAGATAAAAACGATAATAGGCGGGCAGTTTATTTTCAAAGTTTCGAGGGAAACATTTCTCGATCCGTGCATAATAATGATGTACGTTACGAGTAATAATTTTGAGAATGTGATTCACCCGACGGTAGGTACGCACTGATAGATCTATAGGATGTCCGTATTGATCGAACCACACCCGTATTTCCTACACCCTCTACTTCGCCGCCCCTCCTCTCTTCCATCCCCCCGGCACGCACGCGGATGTCAACGTAAATGCGTGCGCAGAAATCGATGTAATCGTTCGTAGCCGAAAAGCATCGAGTCACGCATTGATTTATATCTTAATTTAATTATAGGCCAAGTCGCGCCTAATAAATCTGAGAATACCGGAAAGAAAAAAAATTACCGAAGAGAAGCGTAACGTTATTACCCCGAGTAGTAATTCCAAGATTTCTTGGACGTCATCGTCGACAATTGTCGAACACATTGCCGACGATACCCATAAAAACGCGTCCACTTCAGGACTGGACTTGACGTTGACAGCTGCAACGGGCACTTATGCACTTTGCGATTATCCCGCGAGTGATATTATATCGTAGAGCGCTACCGAAGACCAAATTGAATCGGGTGCAAAGGATTCAAAACTCCAGAGAAGTTAAAAAGTCTAGCGTCATCGGAAAAAACGTAAGAACCAGAGTTCCCGAGAATTGGAAACGTAAGAACCAGAGTTCCCGAGAATTGGAAAATTTAGGTAAGAATTCGAGATTGATTCCAATGGTCCGCGAACACGAAACTCTCCGGGAGGCACAACGCTGCATTTTGATTTACGTTCGGAGTGCTTACGAGCGTCACTCGTCCTTATTCAAAATTTGATAAACAAGGCTGAAATGATTTCACGAGTGCTCGGAGCGTAAATCGGAATCGTCAGTCTAAACAGATCCGAGAGTTCGCGGGAGTTCAAGATCCCCCAAGTGATTAAATTCAAATAATTCGCGAATAATTTCTTCTTCCGCTTAATGCGATCGCATTACGTGCGGAATATGCGCGGATAATAGGTTCGGCATAAACGTTGTCTACGCGCGTGAATGATTTACCGGGGCGGTAAGCGCGCGTAGATAGATAGACATAAATTCCCGGGGTATTCGGAATTTATGCGGGCGAAAGCTCGCGGACGCTCGCGTTTTCGTGGAGGCGCTGCCCGATGAAAGGCCACCATTGTATCTGTCCTGTCGAGTTTATCATGCTAATGAGGTCTTAATATCGCGTTATGGGAAACTTTGAACGGATACCATTCAGCGGACGGCGATATATACCGCCACCGCGCGATCCGCGTGCGTGCCCTCTCTCTCCTTTTCCTCCCCCTCCCCCCCCCCCGCTCCCCTTGACCCCGTGCTTTCCAAAGGCGTTTCCAACACTCGCCTTTCATTGCGCGCACGCCTTTTTTTTCTCCCCGTCGCTTCCAATTTCTTATGGAGAAGCCTTCGGAGGAAGGGGTACACTCGGAATGTAAAAAGAGATTACAGAATACCCGGGCTGAATACTGCGCGCTCTGAAATGACACAAATGTTTATATATACGTCCTCGCGTCCTTTCTTCTACCCTTGGAAAAAGGAAACGACCGTGCAAACGAGAGAATATGTTATTGGGTTTCTTAGATCAAGTTTAAATTTCTTGAATATCCACCAGTGGCGGTGGGGGGGAAGGAGGGGGAGATCTCGTAAGAGTCTCCCTTTCTCTGGTCGTGGGGAATATCTATTATACATGGAATAAGGTGGTTCATCGGACTTTATGCCGTTTCACTGTAGATACGAGCGGAAGAACTGTTTTATTCAGGAGTAATCGCCCATTTCCTTCGGCGAATAGATTCAGCACGAGTAATCAAGACCAAGATACATAGAATATGGGGAAACTACCTGCGACGACAAACACTAAAAAAAAATTCAACGTTAGGAAAAGACGAACGTCAAGTTTTTAGAAATTTAAATCGTGACTTTGAAAATTTCGCTAATAGTTATTTTGGAAAATAATCAGATAATGAATTAAATTTTTGTGAAAGCACGTATATTTTTATTCGTCGCCGTGCCTCCAAGAGATTTACTTACCTTTGACAAGTAACATTTATTGTCATAATTATAATAATAAAAAAGAGCTTCTTGACGAAGTAATAAAAGATGAAGAAAATACAATTGTTGAAAGAAAAAACATTGATTTAAACTTCCCGTAACGAGTACACGCTTTTAATATTATTTCCACTTTCAAACGCGCGACATCTTAAATTCGACATTTCCTGCGACGAATAACCCTTTCACTACAAAGGGCGCATGTATACGCGCGCTCCCAAATGGAGCTCACGCTCACATGCGAGACGCGTGAACGCAAGCACGAACGCCTCGGGTTGCAAAGATAAATTAAAAAGGAACCGCCAGCGGATTACGCTCCGTTATTGTTCACGTAATTAAATCAAATAGTAGAATCCTGCAGGTGAATCCCCCTTTGTGCTATATAAATTTGTATCTTTTGAAAGTCTTATATCTTTGATAGGGTTTTTAATATTTCTACAAGAGGAGGCGCGCTTGGAGAGGCTTTTTCTTTCTTTTTTGAAGACGATCGCGCGATGTAAAAGAAATAAAGGAAGAAGAAAAACGAATTATCAACTCGCGCGGCGGCATTTTATCGAATAAATCGACAAACTGTATGCCGGCACTTTATTTAGCCGTCCATCCCGTTCAACGCGCGACGACGGGGGTGCTTGCAGCTTAACGAACGTGTCTGCAGCCGGGCAGACAAATTTATTCGTGCCGGCATTGGCAGCGTGATATCTTTCTATGGGGGCTATTTTCTCATCAATCCCAATAGCTTTTATAAAACGTGACTCACACGCGTGAAAAGGTCCGCGCGCCAGCCTTTGGCGAATCCGATGTTCGCCATCTCCCTCGTGCACCATCGTCATCGCGACTGTCCCTGGACCGCGCGAGATAAAGCCGGCTCTCTTTCAGGATATGATACACGCCGGGGCGATATATCGTTCTGTCTCCCTTTTCTCCTTTTATAATTGAAAAATCAAGCTCGGCGTCTCTTCTCGCGCCATGTAACGTAACAAACGGCCGAGCGAGGGCGTTCGTGGATTCGTGAATCACACGCGGCAACGCCCGCGTTTCGAAAATCGATTAATTGACCGTCGATCGAATGTTTCGTAACGCGAAACGCACTGACAAATTCTGTAAAGATGCGGAGCCGCATTTCAGCTGTTAACAAACCGCTATTCGATTGTTTTCGATCACACGCTTTGCGTCTTAGACGAATACGAGCGTATAATGGCAGCGAGTCGGTGTCAAAGTAAAAAATAAGAAATTTTATTATAGAAAATTAATACCAACTTATAACGAACAAATAATTATTGTACTTGTGTTCAGAAAAATGTAAAAAAATTTTGATATGTGAAATAGCATTTCTCGATTACTTAATAAGTGATCAATGTGACTTCAAGAGAATAAAAGACAGGACGAATTATTATTAGCGTTAATAAAGATTTAACGTGCAATAGTTTTCTTGCCTAATAAGACTTAGATGACCAAGCCCCGTATATTTATTTTTCCCAATTCGACTCATTTAGATGATTAGATCCGTAATTAATCACTGCGACGACGACCCGCATATCGCGTGACGTAACGCAGCCATTAAGGTTTTCGTAATTCACCGTGATAGGAAAATGGGGGAGAGATCGAAAAATCTGGAAGATTTATGTTCGACGACATTTGTGACAGAAGCTTTTTTGCTCTTTCGATGCCGGTCCTTCGACCCTTTTGGAACCTTTGCGGCGCGACATCACGACGGGTGCATCAAAATGTGCATCACGGAGGGCATCCCGACTCCAAATTGTGCCGCACCTTATATTTTCGTGACAAAGGTTTCGCCAACAGGAACGTCCATATATGCGTCGCTCATTTCGCTTCAAACATGACCTTCCAATCTTAAATCTCATTTATCGAGGACGAAAATTTAACGTAAACACGAGAGACGAAAATTCATTTCGTATTTTTACGCTTGGTTTCAAAAACACTTGATTCGAGTACTTTTTTAAACATTCAAACTGTTTTCAGAGATACGAAAACGCCAGATCACGTCAGTAGACCGAATCGGCGAATTCTCTCGGGAATTACAGAGCGTCGCGAACATAATGGCACACACATGGCAGACAATGGTTCGCTCGGTCACGGGCAAATATTGTGGGCCGATAAAACGTTATTGCGCGAGGCTCTCGAAGCGCTCCTGCGGTTTAAATAGGGAAAATATGGCTCCTGCCGGCGTTCCGTCCAACGGTTCGCAATAGCGCTGAGTATACATCGGGAATATGGACCGAAAATTTTCCGCTGGCGCGAGGACGCGCGGAACGAAGGAGGAGGAAGAAAGGGCGAACGCGCACGCGAAGAAGAAAGAGAGCGAGGCGAACTCACCAGGCTTTGACGCGTATGAGAACCTCTCCCTCGCCGAGGGCGGGCTCCGGCTTCCTCAGGGCCTTGACACTCTTCAGGCCGCCGAAACCGTTGAGCACGATCGCCCGCATATCCTTCGGCTCCGGCGTAGTCTTCTCCTCGCCGTTCTCCTTAGGCTTCTCGCCCTCGCCATTCTCCTCGACCTTCTTCTCGTCCTCCTTACGCTCCTTCGCCGGCTCTTCCTTGGCCGGCGGTGACGCCGCCGTCGTTTCCTGCGGCGGCTTCTCGCCCTCGGCACTCGGGCTGGTCTCGTTCTTGTCCTCTGCCATCTTTTACGTCCTCCTCTTCTCAGACGACCTGTGACTCTGAAGCTCGCGCGACGTCCTTTACCGCGCGACTGAGGATCTCCGACGGTCGCGGCGGGGATACGTCAAGAAAGGGAGCGTGCGTCGTACCGTCCGCGAAGCGACAGACGGAGGAGACAGACGGAGCGAAAGAGAAGGAGAGAGAGAAAGAGAGAGAGAG